TCACCATCCATCTTCACTTTAGCGTATTCCCGGATCCCTCCCTAGGTGAATCAAGCAAACTAACAGTTACACATTTGCCTTGCCACAGGCGTACTTAGACTTAAAAATATAGAGGCAAAGATATGGCAACCTAGAGAAAGATGAATTGAAAGCCAGGTTATGTTGTGCTAGGTATAGAAAGTAATGGTCGGTGAGAAAATTAAATAACTTGATTCCGAGTAGGACTGGTGCAAATAAACAGGAGTGCTTTTCAGTTTTTACTTCCTTGTTCTCTTGTTTCATTGTCAGTGCACTTCACTGTTGAGATGAGGGTGTCAGTGACCGTTAATTGCAGCCATTATGTTTTCTTATTTTTGCTAGAATAACAGTAAGTAGCATTAAAGGAACTGTCATATCATTACATCTGTATTAGAAACAGTACATATCAAAGACAAATGGGTGGGGGGAGGGTCCCAGGTTATCATAGGCTTAGCTAGTGAGCCGTCCGGCCGACTTTTACCGTGACAGCTTGGGCTGATCATTTCGGCTTAGCCTAATTGGACCTGGTCTATCTTTATATTCTTCAAATCTACCGAATGTTACATAAGGCTAAATCATATTTACATTTGATAAAAACAACTTTATTGATTGAATGTACGTTGTTTTCATACCAATATTCGGTGGGGATTCCCAAAAATGTAAGGCTTAACCATTGCCTACCCGGTCGAAAGTCCACATACAACATGCGTCGTGTTACAAAATCATTTATACCCCACTGGAAAATGGACGGTTCTGAGTCGCCCACAACGCATGCACGTGGCTCTGCAAATACAATACTTGAGGTTCGGTTCCCCTACACAATATAATGTTGGTGTTCGTAACTCACTGGTTATACTTACATTAATTCATGAAATACCGTAAAGAAGATTTGTTGTTAAATTTTTAAGTCAACAAAATACAGTAGGTCTAGGCCTATCTCTCGATTAGAGTAGAACTTACACTAGACTAAGGCGAGAGATGAAGATGCATCTGCATAGCCTAGAAACATGTGAGTAACAATAGCTCTGCGCAATCTAGGTGTATGTCTATAACTGAAATATCTTTGAGAAAGCTAGCTGAACACTATTCCTTTGAAGACAGAATTCCAACATTTAAACACCTTTAAATTCCCTCTAAAGAACATAATTTTCAATTTTTTTCTTTATGCTTGGGAAGAGGCTTTGTCAAGTGAGCATGTCTCGCATAACGGCTCAGGGCCACACCTACTGGCTGTCTCTTATACACATCTTAAAGTTTATTGCATCATATCGAAACTTACTGGTTTAACATCTATGTAAGAGGCCAATGCCTCATCAACACTTGCCCTCTTCTTGGCTTTTCTTCCAGGTGGCAGAATACAAGGCAAAAGTCCCAATGATACATTGACTTCCTTACCATCTGAGGCTAGACATAAAAAAACAGAGTTTTAATTATAATCCCAATCAATTACAATATAACATCTTAGAGTATGTCGGAATACTCAGTGCAAAATGAAGTCTAATTATAATAGTACATTTTAAATGTTTAGATGTGTATAAGAGACAGGTAATGATGTATACAGGCTAATATATGTATGGCCTGATCCATTAAATAATATGTGAAATAAATGTGTTGAACTTGAATCTTCTGAAGCTGAAATTGGGTCGGTGTCGGTGTCACTGTCACTATCATCAGAATCAGATGACATATTCTGCTTAGAAGGCTGGTCATAAACTGCGTCTTCACTTAAAGTACTGATACTAGGGTTGTCACTTTCGCTTAGGCTGCTGCTAGATGTGCTACTGTTACTGGTGGTGGACAATTTAGAACTCGGTTTGGTTTTCGTAAATTCCGTTTGGTTGGAGTAAGGAATTCTGATTCATTCTCTTCATCTGATGAAATGGAACTGTTTTCAGACATTGCTATATCTCTGGTATATGGTTCCTAAAAAATATATATATTTTAAGTGAAACAATTGGCTCATTTTGTGTCGTTATCTTAGATGGGTTTTTATATTTCATACTTGTTTTTATTATTAAATTGTGTTGGAAACTATTCTAAAGCGATGTCCACACTATCACATTTTCTTTAAAAAAAAAAAAAAAAATAGTATATAGGCCTAGGCATGTCACATTTTTTTGTCAAATGAAATTTCTGGACAGGGCTTAAGTATTTTAGCCTAGGCCTAGGGCCAGTGCACTCTAAAAAAATCCTGGTGAAATTTCCCCAGAACGTGGTGAAATTTCACCAGGATTCCATGTCCAGATACCACCTAACATACTCTGGTTATTTTCACCAGGAATTCCTGGTGAATTTATGTAACCCTGTATCCTGGTGCATGTTAACCATAATCCTGGTTAATTTATGAACACTATTCCTGGTTAATTCCTCAACATTCCTGGTTAATTTGAATGTCATCCAGGTTAAAAACAGAAAGGTATGTCACCATATTTCTGGTTGTAATTACCAGTTATTCATGGTCAATATGACCATAATCATTATTAATATTACAAGGCAGGTCACTTCAATCCTGGTTAAAATTACCAAAATTCCTGGTTAAATTGACATTTTTAAAATACAGTAATGTGTATATTGGCGCAATTGACAGACAAAACAACGTATATTTGTTATTACACATTTTCATGTTTTATTATTAATACAGTATTTGGAAATCAAAAATCAATTCAAGTTAATTATTTACAGCTAATTAATTGCCAAAATTGCATAAGGTGCATTTTGTGCTTTAACTGAAACCTAGATTTTAGAGGCTTTTTTCAAGGCTGTCCTCATGGCTATGGGCCGATTCGAACGAGTAAAATTTAACTGGGTACCACCAGCTGAGCGGTCGTGTGCGGCAATTAAATAATGCCCCTGGGTATAGAAAATTCGAAAAACAGCTGGCCCAAAAACCCACCTTTTTTACTGGATATTTCAATTACACCTTGCCTCAAAGCGTAATTAATCACTCGTAACAAGGTCCAGGTCACAAGTTGACCCTTCAGATTTGTAAACAATGCCGGGTCAGAGTGCACTGGACAAAAAGAAGCTCGCGACCACGCTGCACGATTCTTCGCATTGTTGCCCAAGCTTTCTTTCCACGTTGGTCGTTGTTTTCGTCATTGCTGTACTTTCTTCGTCGAAAAGCTTGGTTTAGATCGAATCTGTCGCCTAGAAGCAATATAAAAGTTGTCAGGATAGTTAGGTCGGCTGGGTTAATCATAATTCGGTGTCAATTTGTAAGGATAATCGCAAGGAAATGAGTAAATTTTATAAAAAGTAAGCAGAAATAGCGTAAATTCGTGTATGAAGTATTGAAATTGCCGCTAAAACATTGCTAATTTGACACTGGCTCGTCAATCAGGTCACGAACTATTCAGAATTCTGACCTTGCAGAAGCTTGTAAAATACGTAACTTCCGTCAAATTAATGGGTAAATGGATTGTTATTTTACTCGTCCGAACGACCGTCACATTTAACCCCGAGGTTATATAGTACATTACCCATGTAATTGAGTTACGTCCGAATCCAACCAATGACTGCTGGTGAAGTTTTATTGCGGTTTCCTGTGTCTTCTAAACCATATATAACTTTCTGTATGAACTCCCATGTAGTATAGGACTGCCATGGATAGTTTAAATTTAAAATGTAGAAGAGCTTAAAACAAACATCAATGGCTTTAAGAAATTAAACTTGAGGTATGGCTCTTCTCTCGACAATGGTGAAGCATTGTAGAGGATCCGCAAATACTCCCAATATTAAAACATATGGCTGTGTATTGGAAACTTCTTCCAAGTACTTTGGTAATATTTTAGAAGAACAAAAACATTATATATACAGTAATAGTATACTGTACATTATTTGTGACATTGTACCTAAATCCTTACGACGGTTGGTAATCACAGAAAACTGTTAAAATAAGCGCTAAATTGAGAAGCCATATCTCATAGCCATATTTATGCTGTTGTGAAAATTACAAAAAAAAGTTTATTGCATCATATTGAAACTTACTGGTTTAACATCTATGTAGGAGGCCAATGACTCATCAACACTTGCCCTCTTCTTGGCTTTTCTTCCAGGTGGCAGAATACAAGGCAAAAGTCCCAATGATACATTGACTTTCTTACCATCTGAGGCTAGACATAAAAAAAACAGAGTTTTAATTATAATCCCAATCAATTACAATACAACATCTAAGAGTATGTCGGAATACTCAGTGCAAAATGAAGTCTAATTATAATAGTACATTTTAAATGTTTCAAAGAACTCTAAATATAAACATTAGCAAAGATATGCTTTATAAGTGGCTTTTTAACATTTTTTGCTAACAGTCTAAAAGAGAAAACTACAGTAAATTCCTAAGTTAATTTATACTTACTTAATGTTGATTCCTTAACGTTTAAGTAGGTTTGCCAATTTCCGCCTTGTAAAGTGGCATACTTCAGTACCTCCCCTGCATACACTGGTGTCCACAACATACACACTTTGTCCGACACATCTGGAAATATAGCGCGAAAATCCAATTCAACCTTTAAAAAAAATAAAATTTGTAACTACTTAGTTCAGTTTATGGTGCAAAAAAATTTCTGATAATTGTATATGGAAAAATATAATATTGTACAAAGCCAGCTTGCCAAATTATTATGACCACATTGTGCTTTTTTCAATCCAAATCCAAAATAATATATAATATAATTTACAAAATGTTGAAATAACCAGTAAGAATCAATGTTATGAACAATTAATGTTAAAATGACAGTCGTCAGAAGTTAATATACCTACCATGCCAGGTGTATCAAATAGGCGAGGAAACTCCTTCAAATGCCCTACAGGGTTCTCTCTCAGCCACTCAGCCCTTCTAACTGCCCTAAAAAAGTGAAAAACCTACGTTTCCCATTAATGGTTCGTCATGTGGACAGTTAAAATCTTTTCTTAAATTTACACCAGTTAACCAGATATATTAGATCTACTTATACACCAAATTTCAGCTTTGGTACTCAGCTCCTTCATGGTTAGATACTATGTTGAAAACTACACATATTTTAACATAATCGGAAATAACTACATTTTTTAAGAGTTGGGTAATTCCATGGCATGGGATCATAGATTTTTAAAATTTTTTATACTGACAGTTATTCATGTGAATCGAAAAACCTGAAATTTTTAGACTCCAATTCCTGTTTGTTTTCCCGTAGCGGCAGTTTGATGTAAAAGGGGGCGTGGCACAAATTAGTGCACTGTGAAATTAACTTTGATTTTCGTATGCTAATATCTTTGGAAGTACAGTGCCTATAACCTTCAGATTTTGTGGTGTAGGACATCTTTTACTGCTGATTCTAAATCTGCAATCAGAAAAGTTGTAGCATGTACCATTGCGGAATAGCAATGGTCTAAGAATGGGACAAAAACTTCCTAGACACACTTTTTGCATTTTTGGAGGGCTGTATCTGGGGCAAATTTTAAGATTACTGTGTATATAAGAAGTAATTCTGGTGGGTTAGGATGTTGGTCTGACACCCTGATTTTTTAGAACAAATTTTGTGGTTCGTATGGGTATACATTTATTTGTTTTCCAACAACAAAAATGGCAATAACTGCTTTAACATCCACATGTCTTTTCATGTGTAAACTATGATTTTCTGGTCTTTATTTTAAGTGTTTTATTTTAAAAGTAGTTTTTAAATTATACTGCTTGACTGACATGCACTGGGTGGCATTTTTCCAACTCTTTGTATCGCTCTGGTCAAAAAATTAGAGAGTATAAAAAATTATGTTTTCTTCATTTGATTTTGCAAATGAATATTTTACTATTGCATTATAATTTTTTACACGGGAACATATGGTAGCTAAATTACAGGCTTTACATTTTTCAATTTACATTTTTTGGAATATCACGTAAAAGCTCACCCTCCAAACTCAAAGAACATTCCTGTTCAAATCAGTAAAATTAAACAATATTTGGTATGACTTACTCTTTAAAAGTTACCTCCATGAAATGCATTTTGTCTTGTAAGTGGCCATGGAATGATCTGCATTCATCATCACTTTCTTTTATTTCAGACAGAATTACAGTGGATGGAGCAGATAAAAGGTCAGAATCATCTAGTGATATGATGTTTGATATAGTATATGTCCATCCACCTGCAAACTAGAAAAACAGTAAGCTGTTGGCTATAGTTTTTTCTATCTTTTAGGTGGATTGCATAGTCTGCATTAAACTTGCCATCTTTCTGGTTTAAAAGACAGGATATCTCAATTGAGAGAAACATGGCAGCCTTAAAAACCACCACTAGAGTGGAATTACTGACAATTTTAAATCCAGAATGTTTTAATTTTGGAGGATGTGGTCTATATCTAGAAGGTGATCCTTTATTGGAGTGTCCTCCAACTGGGAATGATACATGTTTTAATCCACAATTCAAAAGAAAATGCATCCCTTTATTTTAAAGATTATTACTTTTTTCTTTAATAGAAAACATGCTAAATACCTGATTGGAATGATGAGCATGGACTTGGAAGGCGTGGCAACTCTGGACATTCCATGTCCTTATCCTCATCAGATTCAGCTTAAAAATATTTTCATAAAAAACGTGTTATTTCTTAATCGTACATTATATTTTTAATTGTTTTATTTATTACATATGTATTGACTCTTAACAATCATGAATTTCAAATTAATTTGCTCATTTTTAAATAACATAAAACTATGAAATTGAGCATGGAAATTTATGTATTTAAAAAAACTTTACCACTAAATTTTCACAAGATAATGGTAAAAAAAAAATCAGAGACATTTCAAAATCTTTTAGGAGACTATACATCTTTAATGAAAATGAAATAAGTGATGCATTTCAATTTAGGGCCATGATTTTGAGATCTTTTATAGGGGACTACAATGAAAACTAGACTTACTCCTTTCACGCTACGCAATAAAAGCATAGCCTCCCCGCAGTGAAATATTTCTCCAGTAAAAAATTCAAAAATTCTTGAATTTTGTAAATATATGAACTTGTGTTTAAGATGAGTATAGTAGCATTATAGCCAAGGAGGAGGGGATTTTGAGAAATTTAGAGGGAAAGGGGTGTCTGGCACCCCTACCGACCTGAATCCGCCACTGATTTCAAACCAAGTATTTGATTGTTTGCTCGATCGCTCGCACACCACACATTCAAATATATTGAGTTAGTATAGGAAGAATGATCATGGATATGAATGAATTCTCTTAATTTAGCTAGCTACTAAAAAAGGTGTTGCCTCGTTTTCGACGTGTCTTCGATGATAAATTTTATTCCTAGTTTATTCTAAAATTTTCGTCTATCTCAATTCATTCTATACCTTATCACAATGTAATATATAACCAATATATGGATAGAGATTTTAAACCTGGACCCCCGCTTCAAAATATGGTGGTAGCATTTGAATGATAACTTACACTTAAGTACGCCTGCAATTTCATATTCTACCTTTTTACATCCCTGGCCTGAGAGATCAAAATCAAACATTCCCACCTCCAAGATAGATTAAGAAAAAGGGATCAAAATATTTTTGGCCCTTGTGCTAAATTTTTAATTGCCCCTCAAATTGTCAACACTACTGCTACCTTAAAAAAATAAAATAAAATAAACACATGATACCACTTTTCTCTGTCGACGCAATGCAGCTCCTGTTGCAGTGCACGGTAGTGGAGCCCCGGGCTTATCATGGGGTGGAAGGTGCTGATGCTCAACATACTTTCTTTGGGTATCTGCATATACCTATATGGGGAGCAACATTGCCTCGATGGGATAATTGGTATTTGGATTTTGCTGAAAATTCTTCTGGGAATTATTTGGATCTTGTTGGTTTAATTGCCTATGCGCCTTGAGCACCTTTGGTGGAGATGTGCGCCTTATAAATCTTTATTATTATTATTATTATTATTATTATTATTATTATTATTATTATTATTATTATTACCTTACGCGTGTTTACATATCTGGAATTTTTGTTTTGGTTTTTGAACATCCATGTCTACAAAAACAAATTGTACAATTATTATTTCAACAATTTAGAACTAAACCTCACAAATCTGTTAAAAAAAATAAAAGAACAGACTTCAAAGGGAAATTTCTGTAGCAATATAATTAGTGATTTTATGGAAACTAGGTAAAATTACAAACATTTGTTAAAGTTCAGTATAAATAAATAAATATAATAAATAAATTTTCAAAATGCATGTTTTAAACTACTATACTACTGTTCGTAACTTTTCATATAAACAATTCTCAAACCAGTAATTAAAAACTGAGCTAAGGAATTAATATTATATTAAGGAGATATGATCCCATTCGATTATAGACCAATGAACAAGTAATGTATTTTCAGACGTGGAAAACCAATATAAGTCACCCTTTTTTCGTTGTCAGTCATGCATGCTTTTTCAGATTTCATGAATTTGTCTTCCTATTGTTATAACTAACAGCGGCATCATATTAAAGCAGGGTTGGTATTATTGATTAATTTAAACAGGTAATTATTTGTAAGCTTGCCTATTGCTTTACTATTGTACATTTATAATATTGCGTATATTTTTGTTATTATACCTAGATATAAAAATCAGGATTATTCATTAATTTTAAATTTTTAAACACTATGATAGTAAATTCAGTGGTTATTACAATGACCAATATTTGTAAATGCGTAGGTAGTTTAATTTAATACTTAATGTAACATCAGGACAATAAATAGAAATATAATATTTGTGTTTCTTACACCTAATAATATTGTTTGCCTATAAATTGATTGTAACTATGTTGAGGGTACAGGGCTAAAAGCTGAGGCAATTAGGGAGGCTGTTACAGTCCCTCCCAATGATTGCATGGGTTTGGCTAAAAACACATTTTTGGCAGTTATACTGTATTAATGTTGGGAAATTATTACAATTAAAACATTATTACAATTTATATGTTACTGAAGACTACAACCTATGTATCATAGTCGATAAATTCTTGGGTCATAAAGATATATTTTTCAACAAAATGGCTTGCACAGGAAATGACGAGTTTTTGCAATCTTACTTGTGCATTTTTTTTTTTTTTACAAACACTTTTTCCTATAATTTTTGAATATATTTGTGTTGATAACTGACTTTCCAAAGCAAAATACTTCAGGCAAATATGATACCAAAACCAATAAATGTGTAATTAAATGCTACAACACCCTACCTCCATCTGATTGACTATCGTAAATTCTTTTTTTTCGCCTTCTTGGTCTTAACTCTTCATCATCTGTTGATTCGAAATTTGAGGTCCTTTCTCCTTTCTTTCTGTATTTTTTAGCCTTTTCAAAGTCACTTGTTAATTGGCTCATGGCTTTAATTCCATATACCGGCCATCGATCTTTATCAGGCCATTCGTGCTTTTGGGCTAATCTTAAAACATTTCAACGGCCTTTGGGCCAAAAGACACCATCAATTTCAGTCCCCTGATATTGAAAAGCAAAATAAATAACAATCCTTCATAACTTGTAGAACACTTGATTAATCAACATTTTGTGTTTGCTTGCATGCTGTATTGTGCAACATTTTTAGATTTGTTTTGTCCATACCCATTACATTTCAGCTGATATTTTTCCATTCCTGTTAGTTTCTATTGGTTAGTTTTCTATTCAAATCTCGCAGGCACCTAGCAATGTCAGTCGGCCATCCTATCTGTATGTCACTTTCGGTCAGATCAGTCTCCATTGTGTTTAACATGCTATTATCAAAATTTCTGTTAGTCATATTT